ATTCAAAAATCGTAAACCAATCATTGACGATGAGTTTTATTTCACGTTAAATCACTCCAGTATCAATGGAAATGATATATTTTATACTAGTGATGTAAAATCTACTCCATCTACAGTTAAATAACAAACAAAACAAAAGTTTCAAAAGAAATTACTTCTATGGATTGCATTTTCTGAGAATGGAATTTCTCAACCTTATTTTGTTCCAAGTGGACTGGCTGTAAACCAAAAAATCTATTTAAACAAATGTATTAAGAAGAGACTCACTCCATTCATCAATGGGTATCATTCAGATGGTGCGTATGTATTCTAGCCAGATTTAGCATCATTTCACTATGCAAAAACAGGAATTATGTACCTAAACAAGGAAAACGTGCATTATGTTGAGAAAGCGTTTAACCCAGCAAACTTACCAGAATGTCGCCCTATCAAAAGTATTTGGAGTATTTTGAAAGGTCTTGTCTACTAGAATAATTTGCATGTAGAAAATCTTAAAAAATTACGTTCTAGAATCAAGTATTGCCTTAATGAAATTGATATTGAGCTCATACGGAGACTAGCTCAGTCTATACCAGGCATAGTCGATAAAGCCAGAAGAAATGGTTTAATTTAGAACAACTGATTATATATTTAAAAACTAGAATAAAAATACTTTCTAGAACATTTTTCCTTTTTGTTTTATCTTATTTCTTTAAAGAGATATGTGTCTTTAAATCCAGTCTCGTTTTTTAGTTGTCACCCGTTAAAGGGTATGATTTTTAAATTTATAAAAAATAAAAATTAAATATGCATAACCTAAGTTTAACTCTAAGTTTTTATTTTATCAATAATTTTTCACTTGTTAGTTAGGTTGTTTGCAAAAACTTCATAAACATCAAGTTGCCTCAGAAATACTTATGCTCAAGTTGTTGATTGTAGAATTTTGTCTTCTGATCACAAAAAGTTTGTCTCCTGCTTGCAAGAAGTTAATTTCTTTTTTAAAGTTTAACAAAGTAGTTTTTTTTTTTCGTAAAGTGTAAGTTTCATTATTTTACAATACTTCAATTGAATCAATTGAAATGTAATGATATTAATCTTTAAATCTTTCATCTCGTACTTCTTTTTCACCCATTATTTACTATCCTATTATCCTATATATATATAAAACTTACTTCTACCCTAAAGCTGATTAGGATTCTTTTCATAACTTTTCTTTTGACAGTTCTTGGGCTGATGTCTTTTCCAACTCAGCTGAAAAATGTGCCTCCTATTCCTTTTCGTTGGTGTGCTTTTATTCCTTCATGTCGTTTCCAATTCAAGTATCATTCTACTCCAAGGTTTTCACCCTCTTGTGCAGCTGCTATATCTAATCGTAATAATTTTTTTCATCTTTCCTCATTTTTTTCAATTCTCTTGAGAACTAACGGCTATTTATTATCGCAAGAAATTGATGTAAAAAGGTGCTGTCAGATGCTAAGCTCCATTGTGCTCAGTTCACTAAATCTCGTATCTTATTTCAGTTGTTAGGCTCTAGAAACCTTTGGAAATCTTCAACAACGTCATTAACAAAGGTAGGTTTAACATTAATCTCTCATTAATTGAACTGATCTTATTACCTCTCCCAAGGATAAAGAAGAGCTATTTGCAAAGAAACTTGCTTTTAATTCAACTCTCAAATCTTATGGGCGAATCTATTCCTGTCATTCCAATTAAATAAAACATTTCAATTAAACAAACCCATCGTAGACATCCAAATCACTCTAGCTTCCGTTACTAAAGTCATATCTCGATTAAACTCTTCTATGACTTGTGGTTAAGACAACATTCCTTTTATAGTCGTACAAAATTGTTCTCTAGAACTTTTTTTAATTCTCTCTAAACTATTTAATAAGTGTTTAACTGAGTCTTGTTTTTCTTCCTGATTTAAAATGACATCTGTTGTTCCAATTTTTAAAAGCTCCGGTACACATTCTGACCCCTCCAATTATCTTCCGATCAGTCTTTTTTTTCTTAATAGCAAGGTCTTTGAATTTTTGAGAAAAAAAAATTCTAACATCTTACCTTGAGTCAAGTAACTTACTGTCAGATAATCAATACGGTTTTTAATCATCTTGCTCTACGTCTGACTTGCTAACTGCTGTGACTGAAAAATTTTATCGCTCATTAGATGAAGGCTGAGAAGCTAGGGCAATTGCTCTTGACATATCTAAGGCGTTCGATAAAGTTTGGTATGCTGGTCTTCTCCATAAACTTGTTTCAAATGGTGTATCTGGGAAAGTATTTGAGATTATCAAATTGTTTTCTTCTAACCGCTTTATAAAAGTCATCCTTGAACGCCAACACTCTTCTTTATTTCCAATAACTTCTAAGGTACCTCAAAATTCTATCCTTGGTCCTGTTTTGTTTCTTATCTACGTTAATAATCTTCCCAAAAACCTTAGGTCAAAAGTAGCTCTTTTTGCTGATAACTCAATTTTATACTCCTGTTAATGACAAAAAATCTTCTCTTTTTGATCGCTTAAAACAGGCAGCCAATCTTGAATCTGATCTCACTTCTTTAACAGATTGGGGTTCGCAGTGGCTAGTAAACTGCAATAAAACTCAGTTATTTACTGCAAACAACTATCGCAGTGCTTTCAACATTCCTATATTAATGAATGGCAACCCTCTCACCGAGTCCTTCTCTTTACGTCTTCTTGAATTAGCGTTCACCACTGACCTTTCATGGAAACTATATATACAATCAATTTCTAAATTAGCATCTGCTAAGGTTGCTTCTTTTTATCGTGCTCGCCATTTTCTCTACCCTGATTTTGTTCTCTACCTCTACAAGTCTCTTATTCATCCCTGTATGGAATACTGTTGTCATATTTGAGCTGTTTTTTCTAAGGATGCTCTTTCTCTTCTAGACAAGGTCCAAAATTGCACTGTAAAGAAGTTTGAACCGCTCTATCTGCTAAACTTGCGCTTCTTTTTCATTGTTTTAAAGTTGCATCACTTTCCCTTTTCCACAAATACTATCATTGTTGCTGCTTGTTTAAAGGAACTATCATCTCTAGTTCCAATCAGGGCACCGATGTAGGCCATGCATGGAGAGTTTTCTAGGTAACTCTTGTTTGACCTCTTGAATATCTGTATCCCACTGAAAAATCTCTCCTATCCGGTTTTCAAAACAGATTAGAATCTGAGCTTCAACTTCATACACAACATCAAGGGGAGACTATTTTGTAAAAGCTTGTTTATTTATTTATTTAGATGTTGGAGTCGATTGCATTGTTAAAAAGTATCAATCAATAATTGCAGCAAATCCGAAAGCAAATATTAATCTTTTCAAACTGCTATTCCATAGAATTGGTTTAGAAAATGCATTAAAAGAACAATATGAATTGATCATGTCAACACTACAAAGCAAAAACGAGCCAGAGATAGCAGACCCAATTGAAATGTCTTAATTTACCTAAGATGCTAAAGTTACTCAAACAGACTTAACATCAGAAGCCTCTATCCGTACCAATGTTGCTTATTTAACCAAAACCAGCGTCGAATTTCGGACCTTTCAGTTCAGAGTCAGAACTATAACAACTGCGCCACGGCTGCTGTTTATGCTATTGTGGATAATGGTAATTGAATATGCTACTAAAAGTGGCTCATCTTTAGATTTTGATCCTGATACTACGGCTGCATCCTGCCTACTGCATTTTTTTTGTGAAACGGAGGTAATCTTCCAAAACCATTTCTCGCAATGAATCTTAATTTGCATCTAGTCAGGCGTCCTCCGCAAAATAGTATACAACTTATAGCTTTCGTATAAAGTATACAATAATATACAATGCATAGCTATTGTATAAAGAGCTACTAACATTCATTGCCGAAGTTAAAACAATATTGGTTAATTGACCAATCAAATATAAAAATCAACTTTTTAATGAATTTTTATAACTTAATATATTCTTGTTATTCCCCAATATTTTTTTTTAATTTCTCGACTTTTTTTCATATTATATCAATATAAAGTACAATTTAACTTTAATTTAACTGCAATATCTTAATTTATATACTAAAAAAATATATATATACTGTAAATATAACAAATATTGTCAAGTATTTTTTGAAACTTAATGTTTTGAAAAGAATTATTTCTTATGTTTTTATTCAAAAAAAAAAAATTATAAACTTTTTATATTTTATATACATTAAGTAATATATTATTTTTATATATTTTAGATAAGATATATTTTTGCTTAAGTCCAACTTTCGAAAAGTGCAACATGCAAACAGGCCAATAAAATGTACAATTTTCGGAAGTCAAGCAAAAAACTCTTGCATGGAAAGACGGTACAAAACAGCGAATGTTTTGAAAGCCTTGAGTTATTGCAAAATGATCCGTCATGAAGCAATAATACTTAGTCAGTATGTTTATGTTATCATAATGATTCATTGCCTGCATGAATTTTCAGTTTGCAAGAAGAAAAGTTTAAAATAAAAACTTAAATAAAAAGTTCATAAATTTCTGACCACATGATTGAGGCAAGATGACTTATTACGCGCCAATTTTATAATATTTTAAAATCTACAAACTACTCTAACTAAAGTAACACAAAATAAACACACAAAATAAACACGCAAAAAACAAATAAACAAACAAAATAAATAAACAGTTTAACGTTTTTTTGTTGAGTTGTTACATAAAAAACCATCTTGCCCCGTTTTCTTCTATACGTTACTAGTCATATATTTACTTGAACTAATTTAAACAAATAACGTTATGGTGCTATTGCTCAAATTACTTAATTATGCTGCTATCATTTAATTATGCTACTATCTTTTAATTATGCTGCTATCACTATTATAGGTTAATTTATTAAGATTTAGTAACTTAAAATTGTCAAAGGCTTAAATTGTGCATAAGAAATAATTAAAATTTTAATAAATAAAAGGAAGAAAACTTGTGTTTTTTGAAAATTTTAACTTTAGTAAAATATAATAATACAAATTACGACTTGTGACATGACACTTAAATGTGTAATTAAGAAGTTTTGTTCAACAGCTTTTGAATTAAATTTTCGAGTTCATTAAAAAGTTCTTTACAAGCTCTGCCCGGTTCATTGTCTATAGATGGATCACACAAAGATTGTTCATTTTCCTCTTTTTTTTGGTCCGTTGCTACCATTCTTTTTAGAGAAGATACTTCCCTTTTCAGTGACTGCATTTTAAAAGCTTGAGTTTTTTCATAATCATTCAATTCTTTTTCTAAATTTTCAATTGATTTCTCTAACTCGCGACCAAGTTTTGGTGGCCTAAAATCACTTACAAAAAGTGGTGGATTTTTTATCGTTTCTTCTAACCCGTCAATGTCCTTTATGTATTCTTGGTTTTTTATAACGCTTTTGCACTCTCCGTAGACATGCCAAAATACCAGAACAAAAAATACAGGCTTCATAATTCTATATTTGATTAAAAGTATTGACAAAGATTATTGTACAAATAAAAAAAAAGTATATAAAAGAAAATAACCTAATAAAAAAAAATCAGACAAATAATTATAAAAAATTAATATATTTTGTTACAAATTCAAAGCAACTAACTTTTTGTTCACAGAAAGAGATTAGAGTTAATGAACTCCTTCTGTTCTAAATTCAACTTTTTTTAACAGAAAGTCTAAAGCTCATAAACAGAGCTCCTTCTGTGTTAAATGCAACTTTAATTAACTGAGTTTATCAAACTTCGATGACAAGCGTAAAATTTAGATCAATATTTGTTATATGCTTTTGTTGACCTTTTAAAGTGTAATTCCTTTAAATACGCAAACACCTTTGTTATAATGAAATTCGGATAACATCAAAATCAAGGAGTGAAAATGATGATAATTTGTTTCATTGATGTCAATTTATTATCTAATGGATAGCGGTCATTTTTCTATTATTACATTATTATATTTTATAACTTCTGTAGAACAAAATTAATGTTACTTTAATTAACATATTTCTTTGGTATGTTACTTGATAAATGAGAAATGCTAGTTAAAAACCAAGACCATAATTTGAATAACGTCTTAAACGTAGCCATATTCTGAATAATGTTTTATATGTGAAGTTTCGTTATCATTCGACAAATAATACTGTTTTAAAGTTTGTTTCATATTTGTTTGTAACGAATAAAATAGTTTTTTTCCAAAGCGCTGTATTTTGTCGTTTTATTTTATTATAGTTACAGAGAAAAAAAAAGGTAAGATCCAAATAAGAATATTAAAAAAAGAGAAAAAAATTGCTTAAAACAAATTGATGGAAATTTATCTCGCTTTTAAGCGTATTGAATATGTCTGTGCTCTCCTTTTCTAAAAACATTTTGTTTGTAATTGCATGTATTACAGCTTGATTTTAAAATCAATATTTTTTATTGTGAATATTATTATTATACAAATAGAGCTGATCATCAATAAAATATGTTTAAAAATAAATGAACATGTTATTTACATGGATGAAGTTAGAAAAAACAAAAAATAATAAAAAAAAACTCAAAGCATACGTGAGACTAACACTAACTTATTGCGTGATAAATACGCCGTTTTGTTTACAATATTTTATTGTTATTTTATTGCTTTTTGTAAACAAATATGCATAAGCTGCTTTTTTAGTGTTTATGTAATGCAACTTCTTGACTTAGGAAGACTTTTTGCAAAGTTTACAGTAATCATAAAACTAGTATTAAAAAAGTTCCTAAATTTTAAGGCTGTCACCGGGTACCCGGGCACCAGGGTACCCACCCGTTAGGTACTGCCCAGGTAGCATTATTAAATGACAGATAACTGATTACCTGTTAGTTGAAAAGTTACCTGTTAGTTTAAAATTCTCGTCAAAGTTAAAATTCTTACGGTGGTATCCAGGCATTATTTCTATTTTGTTAAGTTTTACTTTTAATGTATGTATTTTATAAATTACTAACATATCAGGAAAAAAATTAAATAAATAAACCAAAATTTTTAAAATTTGAAAACTTTTTTTTTGCTGACTCATCAAAAAAACTGAAAAAGTTCATGTTACAAGAACATAAATATCTTAATCCATTAGAAGGACATTTAAAAAAGAAAATTTGCACGAATTTAGTATAATAGCAGAGCTAGTGACTGAACCTTAAATTGGAAAAAAAAAAAAAAAGATTTAAAATAGCAGACTTAATACTATAAAAAGACTATTTTTAGCAATAAAAAATAGTTTAAAGACTCATTATAGCCCAAGTTCAAATAGATATACTTTTTATGCTAGGTTCAGTCACTATAGTGACTGTATACAAATTGTATTGTATACAATTGTATACAAATAAGAATAATGAACATATCCTGAAAATTTGAAGATAAAAAAACTCCAACTGACTTCTTTAAAAATCAGGAGATTAAGATATGATTTAATTCAATATTATAAAATATTTCATAATTTGGACAAAGTGTGTTGGTATCAACAACCAAAAACAGCAATTTCAATTTCAGCAAATGGTCCAGCTTCAAACATTAGAGGACATAAAGCATGTGTAGATATTGAGCTGATAAAAAGAAACAGACCAAGGGAAAATTTTTTTACAAATAGAGTTGCAAAATGGTGGAATAAACTACCAGAAGAAATCATCTCCGCGAAAAGTGTAAATATCTTCAAGGACAAGCTTGATAAACATATGGTTATTATGAAACTTTGATCTCAATGGTAATTATGAAACTTTTAATTGCAATGTCTCATAATAGATTCAACATGGCGTTGAATCCCAAGGAGCATAAATAAATAAATAAATAAAAGTATGATTTTTACTGAGATATCAGTGTTTTCCTACAACTGCTCATCAAAAAAAAAAAAAAAAAAAAAAAAAAAAGGAAATTGAGAGAAATCAGGTTTAAAATTAAAAATTCATATGAGCTATTCAAATAAAGTATTAAAAACCACAAGCATAATAGAATCGTTTATCGTTTATGGTCTTTAGAAAAATAATTTTACTAGTAGATTCTACGATGGTGGTCGTCTTGTAAAAAATACAATATGTTGGAAAGTTTATTTTATTTTTCAACATAAAGAAGATATATCTGTATTATGAATTTAAAAAAATTATTTACATTTTTTAATGCTGAATCATCAAAAAAATGCTTAAAACATCACTTTCTTAAAACAAAGAGTTCTAGTTATCTGTATATTCGTTTTGCATGAAGTTTGGTTTGCATGCAGGATATACATAAAATTAGTATGTAAACCAGTAAAAATTTATAATTATGTATAGATCCATAATGACAGCTCTACGTATTTGGGGAAATTAAAAAGGGGTAAAACTCAACAAAAACCATCCCATAATTTCCTAAAATACATAATTTCTTATATAGTGATAAACAAACCCTAAAAATTTCATTTAAAAATAGTTCATAGTGGCTGAAATATGCTTGTTTTAAGTCTGAAATATTACAAACAGAGAAAACTAACAAAAAGAAAATAAAAAAATTAAAATAATTCTTTAGAATAAATCTCCTCCCCCTCCTGATGTTTTTCTTTATCAATAAATCCTTTCCTTATAATCCTTTCTTCATTCTTAAGAAAATTTATGTTATCAAGTTTGGTTAATAGATTTTTATTTACTTTTTATAATTACAACTTTTAGGTAAATTTTTTTTAACGGGTCCGAGAACCCGTTCTTTCGACGGGTACCCGGGCAGGCATTTTCACGAATTTCGACAGCCCTACTAAATTGGGTGTAAACTGCTACATGTGAATTTTGCATATCTATCATGTGACTTTAAAGTGTAACTTTTTTAAAACTAGATCAAAGTTCAACATTCTTATTGTTCAAAAAATATTATAAAGGAGTTAAGTTTAAAACAACCTTCACTTTTAATGAGAGGGGGTAGTAAATTAAAATAATTGTCAAAAAACTTTTATTTTTATAATAAATAACTGGAAAAATTTATTTTCATCTGTTCAAAATAACAAAAGATTTGCAGGGTTTGGTTTGTATTTTGTTGTGAAATAATTTAATATCTTTTTTATATGTTTGAACTGCACCAAACAATTTTTAAAAAATAAAGCATCATTTTGGGCACTGATTCCTGATCCCCTAAGATTGACAACAGATTATAATAAAGTATATATATTTTTGATTTTAGAAGAACCGTGTTCTTGGGGTAAAGTGGGGTAGGTACGGGGTGAAATGGGACAAGTGAGTAATTAACAACATATTAACAAAAATAATATATTAATTAAAATATCAAACCACAAACCTTGCAAATAATACTTTATTCAATTAATTTTAATCAATAAAATGAAAGGATCATAAAGTTGAAGCTTTTGTGCATCTTATTATTTGTAGAATTTCGTTATGCTTATGCAATTTTATTGCTATTACAACTTTTTTGAATGAATTTTCACTTTAAAAATTAAAATAGTTTTTAGTTGATATCAATTAAAAACTATTTTTGTTTTCGTTTATTTAACTGTTTTTTTTTAAAAAAACAGTTAAAAAAAAAAAAAAAAAGAAGCAAGCTGTTCTAATTAAAGAATCAAAGTGTTCCGATTTGTGAAACCGGTTGCCTTAACTGAAACAAAATGGTGGACAAATCCGTATATATTTTCAACAACAATGCAATCAGTTAAGTCAAATTACAGTTAAAAGTAAAGTAGAGTTGTCTGTTTATATTAATCAAATCATAAATGTTTTCATAGTTAAGCAATATTCGGTAGGTTAAAATTTAGCTTCTTTTGCTTTCCAATATCAGCAACCCTCCCCAATTATTTTATCAAAATGTGCTTAGTGCTTAATGTGGTTCCCACAACAATTACCACAATTCGCCATGTACTCTAATCAAACCCAAACGTGAAGAAAACACACAATCACTACACTACAGATAAGTATAGAAACTGCAAAAAATGTAGCAACCTGCATAAATGTAAATCTTAAATTTGTACGTGTTTTAGAATTGATAGTTTTAAGGAATAAAAATGATGAACTGATATAGATCACAAAAACAATTGGATAATATGCAGTGGTATGAGGTTTACGTTTACAAGCTGCATACATCAAACGCTTAGCTGAAAAAATTCATTGGAACGATTGTTTTTCCTAACATTATAAAAAATACTAAAAGAATTGTTCCACCGGGTAGAAAAAGCGGACTCGGTTTGTGGAAAATGCTTGGTACCACCAAACGGAGAAGATAAACTTTACTGATGCATCAACTTCAGGAATCGGTATAATTCTTTGAATTCGAGAAACAGCGGTTGAAATTGCAGCATAGTTACGGCTTAAGAGTGTTAGTTTGAGAGGGAAAGTTTAAACCAGTCCTGGATTATGGGGGCTACAACCTGATGTGCCGCAGATTTAGGAGCTCCGAAATTTTTAAGAGGATGCTTTATTTTTGTTTATTCGTTACTTTATTAGGAAAAAAGGCTACCTACTAAAAAATATCCCCAGACCCTGCAAGTAATAATCCGGCACTGGTTTTAAGAACTACGGTATTTTATGGGCGTGAAAAATCTAGAACTATTTATGTAAATCTCTTTATCTGTTTGCAGTATCAGTGGCCTAACAACAACAAGGCCAGTTTAAGCAACATTTACTGTCCCTCAAGCAACTAGGCCCAGGGCCGCGATGTTTAGGAGCCTCAAGATGTATTTTAACAGTTTTTTGTTCCAGAGAAACAAAAATTGGGCAACTGAACCAGTATGCCTACTGGCCAAAAATGTTTTGCTACGCCACAGTGCAAAAACAACCCGGGCAGTAGCTAAGCAATGATTTATACGTAGATTAAGAAATAAAACTTGGAAAATTGGAAAAAAAATACCCTAAAACATTTACCATTGCTACCCCATATGTAAAATAATAAAACATTTACCATTGCATCGCCACATTATTAAATTATGAAACCTTTTTACATTGCTTTTGACGTTGTATAATACCACGCAATACTTGTATTTAAATCAATTTAAAGTTAAATTTTGTATTTTGTTTAATTTATATTTTCATGAATAATATTTTTTTAAACCATTTAATTTATATGTTAAAAAAAATGAAATCATTCCAAAATTCTGTTATTTATGCAATATTTCTTCTGTGCACGTGGGGAAAGCAGGTAGGATTCGTACACTTTTTACTCTAAGTCATTTTAAAGCAGAACCAATAGCGGTTTTAAAAAACTTTCAATGCTGGTGAGTTATCTAGATATCTGGCTTCAATAATTTTCTAGGTCGGTATTGGTACAAAGTAAAATGGCAAAGCTATAACAATTCTCCCAGAAAATGGAAATTGTACGAAAGCACCCCACACGAATGTACCCTACATAGAGTAGGGTACATTCGTACATAACTATTTATAGGAAAACGAACATTTATAACGATTAAAATTGAAAAAAAAAAAACTTTTAACTTATTAATAATCAACAGTATATTATTTTATAAATATCGTTTTACATAACGGATTTACTATTGCATATTATGCATTGTAAAATTTTTTTAAAATATGAATATATTGGCTGTTCTTGTTGTAGAAGCATATTTGGGTGGCGGCAATATTGGCTTCATTCTCAGAAATGAAACTTTGTATTCCATGGGGTTGTACCTGGTTACAACCTGTCCAATATAATATAAAACGGTCTTTTTCTTATCAAATTTCACTGACACAAGTTTTTTCTTCAATATTTTTCTGCTTAACCGGAAATTAGTTCCCAATATCAGATGAAGAATTTATCATCTCTTCAAAGGGTGAACAAGAACTTTCACTTAAACTTATATCAGTTTCATCTTCGCTATCAGTCTCTATTGTTTTTTTATGTTTCTTTGGTTTAGTTTTTATATTTGTGTCTGTTGGCAAATTTAATACACGTTTCAACTCCTTATCCTTTTTTTTTCTCACTTGTTCTTGTTTCTTCGTCTCTTTTGAACTTTCTAATTCTAGCAGTTTTTTTTTCTGTATATATTCTTGATTTTTCTGGTAGTTTTCCTTTCTTCTTTTTTTTAGGTCCGTTCCTGTTTGCTTTAGGGTACGGTCGGATAATTTCTGGAGTTATTAATCCCACAGATGTTATAGATGGTAATATTGTGTTTTCTACTATTTCTAGAGATATTAATTCCACAGAAGATGTAGATGGCATTGCAGGAAGGGCACTTGTCGAATTTTGTTGAGTAAGAGTTATTTCTTCAGGTATGATTTGTTACGTGACTGCTAAAAAGTGATAAACTTGCACAGTAGCAAATTCTTCGTCACTGAAATTCAATTTATTAAATGGTCAAATTCCAGTCTTTTCAAAAACATTCGAAATATTTTTGCTATTAAATGATTCAAAATAGGCAACTTTGACCAGTTTCGGAATATTGTATATATTAAGGGTTTTTCCCGGATTATTCATTAAATGGTACCTTTAGCTTGGCCTTAAAAAGCCCAAATACTCCCATATCTAAAGGTTGGAGACGGTGAGTTGTGTGAGGAGGAAACGACATTAATAATTCCATTACCACGAGCATAGTCCACTGCTTTTATTGTCACATGGCTTTCATGATTGTTGAAGAGGAGCAGAATAAGGTTCTTTTTAGTTTTTTTTTTGTTTTCTTATTATGCAACGGGAGAGAACCCATAGAATTAAAAGGTTTTGAAATTCCGCTCAACTTATTGTTTATATATTTTTTTTCATGCAGCAACTTGAGAAATGGCCTTTTTTTTTTACAATTATAACACGTTTTTTCTGCTGCTGGACATACGTCTGAATGTGGGTATTCTCACCCTCAGTTAGAGCATTATTTTTTCATTTGGAAACATTTTTTAAACTCGTTATTCAAACAGATAAGTTTACCTTTATTAGATTCTCTGTTCTGTTGCGTATATAATTAATAGCGTCTTCTTTGCTGTGGTGTTGTTGTACAATTCCTAACTGGACTTATGTTGTTTCAAACGTTTTTGCAATTGTTAAAATTTCGGTCAGAATTTTATTTGGGTCTTAGAAAGAATAGTTTCTGAGTTTTTTTATGGTTGTTGATAGCTCTATTTGTTGTTTTATGGCTAAATCAGTGTCGTGAAAGTTACACTTCCTAGCTTTTTCCTTGAGTCGTATAAAAAATTGGCGCATTGTCTCCTCGTGTAATTGTTTCATTAGTAGGAAAATATGTCTCGTAATTTATGTTCATTTGCGGCTTGAAATGGTTGTCAAAAGATTCTATAACTTCTTGAAGTGTTTTTTTAGTTGTTTGTTCATGTAGATTCAGACGTATATTTCATAGGTTTCATCACCAATATACGTCAACAGCATTGATAGTTTTTGTTGATCGTCTTTTACGCCAATTGCCGTACGTAGAATGTGAAAACGTTTCACGTATTTATTCCACTGCGAATAAAATACACTCGAGTCTTGTGTATGATTAAATGTAGGAAAATTTGATAATGTCAGATTAGAAACAAGTGAATCCATAAAATTTTTTTTCATAGTTTGATCTTCGTCGCCTGTTTTATATTTAAGAAACTTTAATTATATTCTCATATTTTATTTATTTCCAACTCCTCTTTACAATAAGAGTTTCCTTATTTATATAGAATTTGACCGCAATCTAATTTTCAAAAAGGTAATTTTTCTCTTTCTTTATTGCGATACAACAGGCCTAAAAAGTAATTTGTACTAGACTAGCTCGATGTAGATTTGATGTATCTTTTACACCTAAACTTTGAAAAAACCTTTTTTATAAGAATTAACTTTATTAGCTTAAGTTAAACAACTTTTTTTTTTTTTCTTTCTATTTTTAGTGTTTATGAAAAAGGTATTTATGAAATATAGTTATATAGTTTAAGAAAAATAAATTTATGAAATATTATTTATTAATGAAATTTTATTTATAAAAAAGTATTTATGAATTTTTTTTTTTCCAAAAATAACTTGCAAACTTTATTTTAAACAATAACAATAGATGGTTTATAAACTGGAACTTATTTTTTTAAAAAGACTAATATCCAACCCTATAAGATAGATTCTATATAGACACTGTAGACAAAAGAAAAAGTAAAAAAAGTCAAAACTTTAATATATGGCAATTCTAAATTTTTTTTTGTCCTTCAAATTCTGAAACCCAGGGCACGTATGCTCCTCCTTCTAGGCGGCCCTGCATAGAACACCCTATTGACAAAAAATGTTTTTTGTCATTAGATTTAATTGACAGGGAAAGTAAAAAAAAATCACACCACATGTTTTATAAACAATTTAATTAAAAAATTACAATTAAATACGGTTTATTTTAAGTTTCATTTCACTTTAACTTTTTTTCTCACAAATTTATACTATAAAATTATAAAACTGTAAATTACAATTAAATAATTAAAAACAATATTTTTAATACTTTTTATTTTATTTTTTATATTATCATCATTAAAATATATTATCATTATAATACTTAAATATTATCGTTACAATTTAAGTAAAAAAGTTAAAATGTTACTAAAAGTCTTAGTAAGAAATACAAAGATAAAAGATCTTAAAGTAATATTTTCTTTATTTTTCAAACTTTATTGTTTGTAACCAAAAGCGTATGTTGTAACATTTAATAAAGTAACAAATATATCGTTAGCGTACGGCTGTGTAGCGGACTGCTGTGTGCTTATTTATGAGGAAAACTTTCAAGCTAATTTTAAATTCTTTCTGACAACTTTTTAATTTTTTTAACTCAAAAATAAAATAATTATTTTTAGGAAAGAAATGATTTAAGCAATAGCAAAATACGAACTCATTTAAAGATATTAAGTGTACTCGCTTAGCAAAATATTTAAAGATGTTAAGAGTACTTAACAAGATGTTTACGCGTTAACGTGCCAGTAAAAAAAAAAAAAAAAATTTTAAACTTCTACCGGAATCCAGAACAAAAAGTTCATTAAGTTTTCTATTCACTATTGAAAAACATGGTCAAAAAGACTTTTCTTCAAAAAATATCTGAAAATTAACTTGTTACAAATAAAAAAAAAAAATTTATAAAATCTATTCAAGACACACACACACAAATCAAAACAACTATCTACATACTATTTAGTCATCCTTAACTGACACTTTCCATGTAATAAATTCTTCGTAAACATCGCCAGGTCGATAAATAGATTGTGGAAAATGAGGCTAAAATAAACGATGTATAAAATACGATGTTAATAAACAGCTTAACAGAAAAAAAATTTATAAAATCTATTCAATACAAACACAAAAATCAAGCAAGACGAAAACAAAACATTTAAAAAAAGAAACGCACGTGATTAGGATTGTCAGGATACCCTTGCGGTTCGAGGCAAAATCCAGTACGTGAAGTATACTTGTTTCCATGCTTGCCCATATTTGTATTTAAGAAATTTCCAGAGTAAAACTGCACACCACGTTGACTTGTATAAATTTCTAATTGTCTACCAGAAACTTCATCGTAAACTCTAAAATCATCATGAAATAATACTTTATATCAGGTATTTTTCCCCTTTGTTTCATCCCTTACCTTATTCCCATACAGTATTGTGCATTAAAAAGTAATTGTGTATTTTTGGTAAACCGTGGCTTATATTTAAAATATTATTTTTTGCACAATATTTTTTTCTAGAAAAACTTTTAAAACATTTAATTGTTTAAATATTTAAGTTAAAAAAGAAATTTGATAATTTTTATTATTTATATTATTATTTGGTTGTTACAATATTGTTTTGACATTTTTTTTTCATTATCAATAAATGAAAATCTGGTTCAGGGAACGAACTAAATTATAAATAATTCAGGAAATAGCTTAATCATTTGTTTTAATTTTTTTTAAAGATAATTGTAAATTTAACATTAAAAATTGAAAGCCAATATCCAGTTAGAAAAAACAATTCCACATTTATTCCTTATATGATAATAATATACTTTTGAATTAAATAGTAGATTCTTTTCAGTGTCAGAAAAACAACTTTAGGTTAAAATATTTGTGAAGCAGTAATTTGGTAAGTAGCGGAAAGTGTGAACTTTAGTGGTGGAACATTAGTAGTGGAAAGTGTGAACATTATTTCTATCGTGATATTGATTGACCATTAACTACTAAACAATTTTTATTAAAAAAGCCAAGAAAAAGTGAAAAATTTTTTATCTATATTAAAAAAAAAAAATTGAAAAATATTTTTGTGAATAGTCTAGTAAAAGTATTTTGGGCTGTTTCGACAAAAAAAAAAAAAAAGAGCGGATGAAAGATTCAAGAGAAAAGAAAAACTGAAAAAAAAAAGAACAATTAAAAAAAAAAATGAATTTTTATTAATAAAAAATATTGAAAAAGAAATATACCTGTATACTTGTACAAAACTGAAATGACACCAAAATCAATAGAATAGGTGTTAAACATTTAACTTTTAGGACGATTAAAAGTTAAAATCTAATATACTGAGCCATATATTTAATATACCAAGTCAAAGAAAAAAAACGTCTAATCTTTTGGAAGAGTTTGTAGTGGAAGAACAAATCAAAAATAGTAAAAATATGACCCAACACCAACATTCACTACTAAAATTGTTTTGTAAATTAAAAAAAGAGGGTAAGTTAGACTATGTTTAAATTCAAATGTTTCCATCAGAAAAGTTAACGCGATTTTGCAAAATACATTACAAATGTTTTATTTTGTATAACATTTTTGCCAAAATATTTTTGTATCTTCTTAAATGCTATGATGTTATTTTGTCAATTCATCTCATAAGGGTTTTGTTATAGCAATTTCTAATAAATATATGGCATAGAAACATTGCAAAATGTCAAATTTCTATACAAATTTTCAAAAAAGAAACAAATTATCTACTTTATTGACAAATCCGATTGATTAAACAACCTTTATATAAAATCAAATGTTGCTTTATGAAAATTTCGAAAAAAAAAACAATTATTTCCCACATGCCAAGTAACACAGGACTGAGATATATATCCTCTTTATCGTCACTGGTATTGATTCTTTACAAAATTGTAGTGTTTCTACATCAAAACTTTTTACATGGAATGTTTTCTGAATAATACTCAAATAAAAAGATTTTGTGTGATCGAGTGAACAAACATTTTTTCTTGATTAAACATTTGTTCTTGATTAAAATTTGTTCTTTGTAAATTAAATAAACAAACTTTATTTTTTTATTGTAATTGTTGCAATGCGACATTGATTAAACTTAGACATCTTCATCATCTGTATAGAAATCATATTCGCAAGTAATGTTTCTATACAAAAAAATCCTGTTTACTCAGTTTATCAGCATATTCATCGTATTGCAGGAAAAGTTTTACTCTTTAAGAAAATTTTTTTAACTTATGAAATCTTTCGCCTATTTCACTATAAATCGATTCAACAGCATTATTAACTAATTTCCGATTCTCACTTGCATAGAATTGCTACTTTCTAACACACACGCACGCACACACATTTATCCTGAATTTTAAGATCAACATGCTTTGTTTATACACAATCAAGTATAAAAAAAGTATAAAACTGTTATAGACAAAAATATTCAACACAATATTGAAAACAAATAATTATTTTATATGCGATATTACATAAAAATATAAAAGGTGTAAAATGTATATGTTTCATATAAACTTTCAATTAAATCTATGATTTAATTGAAAGTTTGTAATTATAGCTGAAGTGAAAGCATTACAGTGAGGTCCTGCTACTGGTAACATGTAACTCAGTACAACCTGCTTTATGTCTTTTTATATTATGCTTGTAATGTCTGATCCTAGTCAGTGCTCAGTTTCTCCACATTCATCCTAAGGTGTTTGTGATCACAGTTTGATCTCTATAAAACTATTATCTCATTTTTCTTCATCATCAGAATCCCCCTATCGTCGTACCTCTTACAACTACCTTAAAGCTGACTAGGAATCTTTCTGTGATTTTCTTTGTGATGGCCCTTGGGTAGAAATCTTTCGCCTTTCTGCTGACAAATGTGCTTCTTACATAACTTTGTGGATTCAGGCTGGCATGAAATCTTTTATTCCCTCTCGACAAGTCAAGCTTCACTCTTCTTCGTGGTTTTCTTCACATTGTGCTATTGCGATTTCTAATCAAAACCGTTACCTCCATATCTATAAGCAAAACAAATCTCCAGAAAACAGACGCCTGTTTACTATTGCTAGAAACTATTGTAAAAAGGTTTTGTCTAATGCCAAAGCCCGCTATTCTCAGGTCATAAAATCTCATATTTCATCACAAAAATTAAGCTCTCCTGACTTCTGGCAAATCTTTAACAGTATCAATAATAAAGGCAAATCTGTAATTCCACCTTTCTTGTATGGTTCAGATTATATCACCTCACATGAAGACAAAGCTGAATTGTTTGCTAAGAACTTTTCATCAATATCATCTCTTAATTTCACTAGTTGTGTTTTACCTGATATACCTATTAGAGTCTTGTAGAAGTGCTTATCAGAGTCTTGTTTTCCAGCCTGCTGGAAAGTGGCATCTGCTATCGTTATTTTCAAAAATTCTCTTCTAACTATCGCCCCATTAGTCTTCTTCCTATCATAAGCAAGGTTTTTGAATCTTTAATTAACAAATACTTCTCTCAAAATCTCTCATCTTGAATCTAATAACTTTTTGATCATCAGTATGTTTTTGATCTTCTCATTCTACAGCTGATTTGCTAACAGTAAGAACCTATAGGTTTTATTGTGCATTAGAAAGAGGTGGAGAGGTTAAGTCTATCGCTCTTGACATTTCTAAAGCTTTTGATAAAGTTTAGCATGCTGCTCATCTCCATAAGCTTCCTTCTTACAGTGTATCTGGTAACATCTTGTTATTAAATCCTTATTATTAAATTTTTGATTCCTTATTATTGAATCCTTATTATTGAATTATTGATTCCTTATTATTGACTATTGAATCCTTCCATTCCAATCGTAGCATAAAAGTTGTCTTTGATGGACAACACTCCTATTCATATTCTGTAACTTCAGGGATTCCTCAAGGTTCATTCCTTGGCCCTACACTCTTTATCATTTACATTAAATTTAACAATCTTTCAGATATTCTCACATCTAACCATATATCAAATCCATTGCAAAATTAGCATCTGCTAAGGTTGCATCTCTTTATTGTGCTTCACACTTTCTTACTCCAGATTCTATTTTTTATCTCTATAAATCTCAAACCCATCTTTGTATGAAATACTGATGCCATATCTTCAAATGATGCTCTTTCTATTTTAGACAAGGTGCAAAAACGCATTGTAAACATACTTGGACCTGTTCTTGCAGCCAACCTACCATTATTATAATGTTGCTTCTCTTTCTTTTTTCTACAAATTCTATAATGGGCACTGCTCTAAAGAGCAGTGTCTCTGTCTTGATTCAATAGTCAATAATAAGGAATCAATAATTCAATAATAAGGATTCAATAATAAGGAATCAAAAATTTAATAATAAGGATTTAATAACAAGATGTTACCAGATACACTGTAAGAAGTCTGTATTATACCTGCATAACCACACTAACGCTTTAAAGTTTAAAAAACGCATGAAGAACAACACTTTAGTACTGCATAGTGCCAAATAAGGTAGTCTGCATGGTATGACGCTACCATTAATGTTGTTAGGATGTTGGAATCTCCATAGAGTAGGGGTCAAGTGGTATAATGTTATGGCGCCCGAGTTTGTTTAAGGGTCCAGAAAAAAAAAGCAAGCTAAAAAAAGCCTCATAAACCATTTCATTGTGTGCTTTCTCAGCAGTAAAGACAGTCCTGCATATATTTTTGCTCAGGGATCTGCCTTGGCAGATGACGACAATTTGTGACATTGTATGGTATAAAATGATGATATTGTATGTTAAAACACGTTAGCAGCAACCAGCTGTGCTACCAGCAAATTCTTAGGTTTGTCAAGCGTTATTCAATAGTGGTGAAAATAAATGTTAACTAAGGTAGTTGTTCTTAAAACAAGTCATTAATTAAAGATTTAGGCCATTTGGAGACAGCATTAATATGTGAGATTTAGATTATTTTGCTTGAAAAAATGTTATTAATAGAGCCTTTAAAGGAAAAAAAAAATCTTCAAAGTGTTTTTGGCAATATTTAATTTTAGTAATGACTTTTAAACGTAATATCTTTATACTGGCTAATGATTTGTGGCTAAAATGTTCAGGGTATCCTCAGTATGCTTCAGAAATTTGGTTAACATTAAATTTTTTTAATGTCAAATCATTTAGTATTTCAAGCAAATTTTCAATAATTCTTGATTAAATTTAAAATACCCCTTTAAACTAAAAATCTATCTGTTAACTGAAATAAAAGTACCTACCAAATTTGAACAAAAGAAAATTTAAATAATGAAAGACATGTCACTAAGTCTGACAGGAAAAATTTTAAATTCAATTTTAACACTTTTTCCACCATTATAGATGTAAAAAAAAATATTGATGTAAGAAAAATCTTTATTA